ATTTTTGTCATTATTCATAATTTTAAATTGCTTTATTTTTATAATTTTTGAGGCTTACGCCTCGCCTCACTTAGCCAAAACGCCTCGATTCCCGATTTCGCCTTTTAAAACGTTGATATATATATATAATGTTTAAAAAAAGATAACCTAAGATAATTAAAAATATGCTGGTTAGATTCTGTAATAAACCAATAAAAGAGAACATACAAATAAAATTTGTTGATTTAGGACGTCACAAAAAACTATGTTTCTGTATGAGTGTTTTCACGTAACATACCAAACCCGCTATTTATCTTCTAAAAGAAAGAAAACAAAAATTGGGCCGAATGTAACAAGAATAGAAACTTGTTGAAAGCAGAAACACTAACAAACATAGCTAAGTTATTTGTAATAAACCAATAAAAGAGAACATACAAATAAAATTTGTTGATTTAGGACGTCACAAAAAACTATGTTTCTGTATGAGTGTTTTCACGTAACATACCAAACCCGCTATTTATCTTCTAAAAGAAAGAAAACAAAAATTGGGCCGAATGTAACAAGAATAGAAACTTGTTGAAAGCAGAAACACTAACAAACATAGCTAAGTTATTAACAAGCTCTAACCTAACAAATCAAATTTTAAAAAAATCCTTGATGCAATGAACAGTCCTTCGGTACATTGGCTTCACCTAGTTTCTTATAAATCATGAGAGCTCTTTGTCTCTTAAGATTTATGACAAGAGGTCAGACCATGTTTCTTTTTAAAGGAAGTTTGAAGGTGGAATTAGGGCCCTTATATTTTCTGTTTAAGTCTGATTCTTCTATTATTAAAAGAATGATTTTTTATTTGTGTATTTCATTCTTGCTGTCATTTCAGCTACAATTTTAATCTATGGGTGAATTGCAAATGCATCCATCCATCTTTTGTTTTCTGAACTGGAGTTTGGAACTTTATAATTTCTTATGGTGCAACAAGATAATAATCATGTTTTCCAGGGGAATTTATTGTATATCATCTTTTATAGCATTGGATTTGATTGAGGTCTATGCTTACTCATCCCAGGGGCCGCAAAGTTGTGGATCCATCTCTCTTAGAAAGAGTCCGACTTACCATTATTAACAACCTATTGAAATATCATCCGGTATGGCTCCATCTTGTTGTACAAATTCTCTATCGTGTACCTGTCTTTAATATTACATTAATGTTTTCGTAGGAATCTAGCGAGAGATTAGCTTTGGGTGAGGCTTTTGGCATAAAAGCTCCACGAGAGAAGGTATTGCAACATCCTTTTCAAAGCATTTCGGTAAATTTGTTGCAGATTTTCTAACTTGTTTTGAACTATTTTATTAATTATAATTTGATCTGAAGGATTCTCGATCCAGCTATAACTGCAAAATTATTACACCAGTGTCAATCCCAATATTTAATTGGTTTGTGCCTTTGTGGTATTATCGATGACCCTTCTTAATTACTGATAAGACCATAAAGGAACCACCCTTGGTCCCTTTCTCAGAATTGAGTTCACTTAAATGTGTATGTCAAACTAATTGCTGATTCCTAAAGTTTAGGTCATTTTCATCTGTCTCTCTTCTAACTATCGTAGCAAAGTACTGTTATTTAGGAGTGCAGAGTGTAGCCCTTTATTTTTTATTACTAGGTCTAAAGAGAAACGTTGCTCTACTGCATTCAAGGATCTAATGGTTTTTTGTGCATTTCATCAGAGTGCAAGAGGACAGCCACAATGCTCTGGGATCAAAAGAATTTGATGGTTGTTTTTGTCAAATTTGCCCTTTTTTAAAACTTAAAATGGCTCAATATTGGATAAGTCTTAAACAAGCAAACGTGACCTCAAAAGCATCTTTTGTCACTTAAAGCCTGAGCATACATCATATACGAATTCTTGATTAAAATATAATTTATCTTTTCTTCTTCAAGCGAGGTGTTATTGATGCATACCATTGTTTGCGATTTTTTTCTGTGCTCAATTTCATTCTTCTAAATATTAACTTTTGTAGTAGTATTTTTGACTAATTATAGCATTAACAAACATATTTCATTAAATATGATATAAGTTGACTTGATGTTGCATTATTTAAGTATCTTTCTCTATATCTTTGATATTTACAAAATTTCCCTCCTTAGAGCATGTTTATTTCTTAGTGGGAGCAAGTGTTTTACTGCACTTCTCAGAATGAAAACTGGGGAATTCACTTCTGCAATACTTGTTTTGTGTTTGTCAATAAAGTGACACTTCGTACAAGTTGTGCAGGAACGAGAAATGTCTTGCAAGCTTGGTAAGGTTAGGCCTTATACTTGCATTTGCTTATGAAAATAAGCTTACTTTTGATATTGGAAGGCTATCTCGCCACAGACACACCCAAACCCACACCTACACCCACGCACCATCCCATCAAAATGTGAACTATAATCATAATAACAAAATAATTATGAGAATGGACACATTCATTTATCAGTAATAGTAAACAAGTAACAAAAAATTTGATCTAACTACGATAAATATACATAGCAAACATCAAACACAATTGTAAACAGAAAAAAAAAAAAAAAATCTCAGAAGTACCTCAAGATTCAGAATTAGTTTTGCGCTTGTAGAAGTGAACGAACAACAGTAAACAGTTTTGCTAGATACAATAAAATGCCTACATCTCCGCCAAAGCTACGAAGTGGATTCTCTATCTGGAAAGAGGACTTAAATCCATAAATTATAATTTCCTTGCTAATTCGACATAATTAGGACCCCTAATGCCTTGTACATCACTGGGTTGCTTGGTGCAATCCTTCCACGTATAATCTGCAAGTTTTTGAGCACCCTTGCTATTATGTTGTTTTGAAAGCAAGTTTTGTGTAACTACTTTGTTCTTCCTCGTTGGAACTGATTATTCATATCTTTTACGTTTCCGTCACTAAAATGAAGAACCTGTGCTCTCTTTTGATATATTGAGTTTTGAAGAACACTTCTGGCCAAGTTCAATATGCTTTTAATTAGGATGCATGTTGCATAAAAAATTCAAACTAATTTTTAAGAAATATAAATGCTTATTCGGGCTTTGTTTGGAGTGAAAATGACAGTTTAAACAATTCTTCCTTTGTTTACTCAAATGTTAGCGTGCAGAATGATTAAGGGCCATAGTTCTATGAATAGTTGTAATTGTACATCGACCACATGCTTTTTTAGTCTTTTTGTGCTTTTCTATGCGGGTCTTTATATATGATGGCCTTCGTCTTAACCCTGTGTTAATATGATTTGAAGTAATGAACTATAACAAACATGACAACAAAGTACAAACGTCACCATAATTTGTGACCTTTGTAAGGTCTATATTTATTCCAAATATATTGCAAAATAGATGACCAATCTATCATTAATAAGCAGAAATCATAACTTAATTCCAAGGTTTAAAAAGGCGACATCGGGAATCAAATCATTTTGTATTAGCGAGGCGAGGCGTAAGCCTCAAAACAGAAAAATAAAAAATACATGAACTTACTAATAATTCATAAAAATGACAAAGATAAAATAAAACATCAACATATTTATTATAAAGATATAAATTACAAATCCCAATATTAAATGTTAATATAAATAAAATTTTGAAATGATATTCAAAGTAAACACTCATTTAAAACTTAAATACATCGTAAAGATTAGAATCCACGGTAGCCTCATTCTTACGTTCATATTCTTCATAATAGCCCTCATATGTAATAGTTATATCATCCTCGAATTCTTATGTTAATGTATTTAAGTCAAACATTTAGTCATGTTAAAGTTGTGTTATGTTTTAACTACAACATATATCTTGCAAGCATAATTCATGAATGGGTTAAGTACATTGCAATAACACCTATATATACATTTGATGTCGTGTAAGTGCGAATATTTATAACTAGGCCATGTGACATCTTTAGTTTTATGCCCAATCACAAGTATATGGAGACCCGATTCAAAGCTATATGATGATTGTACCTATTCTTATCTCGAATTGTATCATGTATATCTTTACTTTAATGATTGTTTGTAATTGCTCATGTATGTCTCTTGTTTACACGTGCCACCCTTATGCTTTCTTTTCATGTATTGGATATGCATGCTAACATTGAAAATATCAATTATTTCTGAATTAATTACTACTTAATTGTGGTTCTCTTTGAATGGTACATACTCTTATCCTATGTTTGCTCTTGTCTTATTGTCTTGCGAGGTACATTGGGTCATGCATGGTTGAGATTCAACGGATAATTTGCTCGTTTGAATCTTTTAAGTGGCCGCATTACAATCTGGGATCATTTGCTTAGAAGCTTGTAAGTGGAAGCGCCACAATCAGGTATAATTTTTGCAACTTGTAAAAAATTTCTAATTATATATCGAAACTGCTACACTTCACACACATATTGTTAATAGGTATTTTAGCATGTTTAAGTAGCCAGTCATAGATTAGCGCATTAACGAAACTTTGGCTCTATAGGCCAAAGCTTGTCCTCTTCTGTGAGTCCTAGAGACCATTAGGGTCATTTAGGCCTGTAGAGCAGGCCACCCATTTGTGCCATTGGGCATCATTATTTTCCCACACGAAGTGGGCATCGCTAGGATTTTGGTCTTTTTCTAGTTTTGGGTATGATACCCCCCACCTTCTGTGAGACTTAGAGACCATTAGAGTCATTTAGGCCTGTAGAGTAGGTCATCTATTGTGCTATGGGCATCGTTGTTTTTCTACACGAAGTGGGCACCGCTAGGATGGTTTTCTATTGTAATATGATGCAGATAACTTGCTTGGAGGGGATCTGGAGTATTTATTTATTTTTTTTGTACTCTGAATGTCATGCATGCATTCTTATACACTTTTCTCCATATTGCACCTTACTTACATGCATGCATTGCATCAGTAGATCTAAGGATACTTTCACTTATGTGTCCGTTTCATGCATCATACAGCGTTAGGTATACTCTTTTGCATATTATAGAGTCACTGATTGAAACCTTTTAAACTACTCATTTTTGATTTCTTAGGATAGAGCATTCCTATCTTGTATACATATATGATGATTGATTGTGTTTAGGATGTTAGCTGGCAGCTCACTCTAGGCAAGCATAAGCCCAGGTTGTATACCTCTCAGTATGTCTTTTCACATCTGATGTGTTTTTGAGTCCGTCATCTCTCCTAGGATTGTAATCTGATCTTTGATCTTTTAACTCAAAATCTTAATGACTTAATCACATCTTTATTCGTTTAAAAAGTATAATCATCACTAAGGGTAAAGAGAATAGTTTATCTTTCTCGGAATAGAATTTAGGAACTTTCTCTGTGCACCAAATTAAGAAGAGAATAATACACCGTTCTTAATCGAGAGTTTTCTTAGATTATGCCCCCGTAGTTAATTACATCTTAGACCTTGATCTTAGAAAACTCTCGATTAAGGACGGTGTTTTAATCTCTTCTTAATTTGGTGCACAGAGAAAGTTCCTAAATTCTATTTCGAGGAAGATAAACTATTCTCTTTACCCTTAGTGATGATTAGACTTTTTAAACGAATAAAGATATGATTAAAATTTTGAGTTTAAAAGTTCAAAGATCAGATTACGATCTTAGGAGAGATGACGGACTCAAAAACACATCAGATGTGAAAAAACACACTGAGAGGTATACAACCTGGGCTTATGCTTGCCTGGAGTGAGCTGCCATGTTAGCTAAACACAATCAATCGTCCTATATGTATACAAGATAGAAATGCTCTATCCTAAGAAATCAAGAATGTGTAGTTTAAAAGGTTTCAATCAGTGACTCTATAATATGCAAAAGAGTACCTAACGCTGTATGATGCATGAAACAGACACATAAGTGAAAGTATCCTTAGATCTACTGATGCAATGCATGCATGTAAGGTGCAATGTGGAGAAAAATGTATAAGAATGCATGCATGACATCCATAGTACAGAAAAAATAAATAAACACACCAAATACCCTCCAGGCAAGGTATCTGCATCATATCACAATAGAAAACCATCCTAGCGGTGCCCACTTTATGTGAAAAAACAACGATGCCCATAGCACAATAGATGACCTACTCTACAGGCATAAATGACCCTAATGGTCTCTAGGGCTCACAGAAGGTGGGGGGGTATCATACCCAAAACCAGAAAAAGGCCAAAATCCTAGCGATGCCCATTTCGTGTGGGAAAATAATAATGCTCAATAGCACAAATGGGTGGCCTACTCTACAGATCTAAATGACCCTAATGGTCTCTAGGACTCACAGAAGGGGACAAGCTTTGGCCTATAAGGCCAAAGTTTCGTTAGTGCACTAATCTATGACTGACTACTTAAACATGCTAAAATACCTATTAACAATATGTGTGTGAAGTGTAGCAGTTTCGATATATAATTAAAAATTTTTTACAAGTTGCAGAAATTATACCTGATTGTGTCGCTGCCACTTACAAGCTTCTGAGCAAATGATCCCAGATTGTGACGCGGCCACTTAAAAGATTCAAACGAGCAAACTATCCGTTGAATCTCAACCATGCATGACCCAATGTACCTCGCAAGACAATAAGACAAGAGCAAACATAGGATAAGAGTATGCACCATTCAAAGAGAACCACAATTAAGTAGTAATTAATTCAGAAATAATTGATATTTTCAATGTTAGCATGCATATCCAATACATGAAAAGAAAGCATAAGGGTGGCACGTGTAAACAAGAGACATACATGAGCAATTACAAACAATCATTAAAGTAAAGATATACATTATACAATTCGAGATAAGAATAGGTACAATCATCATATAGCTTTGAATCGGGTCTCCATATACTTGTGATTGGGCATAAAACTAAAGATGTCACATGGCCTAGTTATAAATATTCGCACTTACACGACATCAAATGTATATATAGGTGTTATTGCAATGTACTTAACCCATTCATGAATTATGCTTGCAAGATATATGTTGTAGTTAAAACATAACACAACTTTAACATGACTAAATGTTTGACTTAAATACATTAACATAAGAATTCGAGGATGATATAACTATTACATATGAGGGCTATTATGAAGAATATGAACGTAAGAATGAGGCTACCGTGGATTCTTTGTACATTGTTTCCGGCGGATTAAGTCCGCCGGTAATAACAGGTTTTCCTGTAGTGTTCCTCTATTTTCAATTTTAAATATTTTACTAATTTTGTTATTATCCATTCATCTTTAGAAAATATATCATTAACAACCAAATAATTTATTTCATCATCACCAATTATTCGCTTCTATAATTTGAAATATTTTTCTTTTAAATTTCTATTAAACGTAACACAACCATTCAATATTGTTCATTCATACTATAGCTAATTGGTTCATTGTCTTTGTATGATAGAATAAAATATATATTATTAATAATAATATATAATAAAAATTATAAAACTTAACTATAATGAAGCGCTGCCTCAAAATGACTCGATGCGTTAAGCCTTGAGACGTGCGCCTCATTTAAAAAAGTTGTAAGCCTCATTGAACACTAGCGAGGCTTAAGCCTCAAGGCAGTCATTGTGCGCCTTAGTTTGAGGCGCGCCTCGAGGCATGTGCCTCGAACGATTTTTTAAACCTTGCTTAATTCAAGCGTAACTTTTTCAGTTGTTATTAAAAAAGGATATGTACATGCTTTCCTTGAATTGTTACCATACTTATTACAATTACATAAAATAACATAAACATTCATTATTCCTTTAACAATATTTTTTATAATACATTTATTTATTTTTCTTTTTTATCACCTGTAATCACTTCAGGTGAATCCTTAGCATCCTTCTGAGTCAGTGCATATACTCTGGGCATAGTATTCTGTCGGCCTTGACTTAATCCTGGAGTAGAAGCAGCTGATTTTACTGTTCTTGATCTTCCCACATTTCTTTGAGATCCAGCATTTATCTTTGACTCTCCTGTTGGTCTTTGCCCCAAAGTAGGACAATTCTTGGCTATATGACTTGGTTGATGACACCATAAACAAGTACTTGTACCAGATAAATATTCTTATGTATGCTATCTTTCACACTTGTTGCAACTGTTCACACTTGAACTGTTACTGCTACTGGACTTTATCTTCTTTCAATTAAACTTCCCACTTGGTGAAAGAGATTGCTATGTGAATCTTGAGGGGCTCCCATAACTTCACCAATTTTCTCTTCTAAAAATCGCGTTTCCTTTGAGTGTTTTGCAGGTCCATTTATATCATTCTAGCCCTTTCCACCAATACTGGATAATTTTCAATCCCAAATGGAACAAGTGGCTGTCTAATTGCTTCCTTCAATCCAGATAAGAATCGGTGGCATTTTTTCGTTACAATATGTACTAATTGAGGAGCATATCTGGTTAATGAAGTAAATTCAGCCTCATACTGTATAACAGATCTATCCCCCTATACTAATCTCATAAACTTGTCTTGAAGCTGCCTCCTCGCAAAAGGAGATGCAAACCAATCTTTGAATACCTGAGTAAAATCATTAGGGATTCTTCCAAATTTGTCTTGATACAGACCTCTCCACCACATTTCAGCTTCTCCATCAAGCACGAAGGTCGCTTAGGAAACTTTCCTCTCCTCTGGATAGTACATTCCTTTTAAAATCTTTTCAATTCTTAGTAACCAGTTTTTAGCTTCAATTGGTCCTTCTGCTCCTTTAAATAATGGTGGTATCATATCTTGAAACAGTTTGAGACACTTATCCATAGACATTCCACTATCACTGCTACTTCCTGATGGTTGATTTCTTGAGTCTTGAATCAACTAAGTCATAGCTGTCATTATTTGTGCCAGTACATTAGGATTAACATTAGTATTAGGCACTGGTTTTTCCACTTCCTCTATTTCCTCCCCTTCTCCAGGATCATTTTGGTTCATGTTGTCAATAAGATAATTCATTTTACATTAAATCTTTAAATAATTAATAATCATCCTAATGGCTCTTCCAGTACAATTCATATCTTAAACTTCGGCTTTGATACCACTTTTGTCACGACCCAGACCAGATGCTCGATTTAACGAGGCGGGAACTAAAAGTTGGACGGTAGGATCTAATCATTTCAATTCATAAACAAAACAATATTAAAACATTAAATTCTCTTTCCTCATCTGAAGAGCCACTAACAAAATTCCTCAAATACTTAACATTTATCTCAATTCATAAATTACCTGTTATCAATTGCACTCCGTCTTCTATAGACGAACTCTTCTCTTTCTGTCATTTCTAAATTTTTGGAGACTTACCTGAAACAATTAATTAGTGAAATGAGTTTACAAAGTAAACTCAGTGGGTAACAATTAAAATAATTTACATGCATAAAGTTATATTTATTTTCCATTCTTTCATGTATTGTTCGTTCATATATACTTTATGAATACATGTACATTTTCTTTCACATATGCATATTTGTACAAACATTTGCTTACTTCATATAATAGTTTCCAAAATATGTAAGCTGTTAACGGTTCACAAGAATAGAATAATTTAATTAATATTAAATATCAATTAAATGAATTGATAGGCATTTGATTTCGTATACAAACCTTACTCCACAAGATTTCCTTTCTTTCTCACAAATCTTCCTTCCTCCAGCGCCAACCAAGATCTATATCACTTGAATTCTTCCAATCTAATTTAAAATATATTTCTCATTATTTATCAATAAAAGAACGAGAATTGAAACATACTCTTAAACTGATCATTTATCATTCCTTATGATGTAATTTCCAAAGACTAATTTCTTCTTCCTTCTCTCCCAAGTTTCTTCCCCTTGCCTTCAATTCCTTCCTTTTCCTCTATGAAAATTATCTCTAGTTTTAGATGCAATAAAATTAGACAATTTATATGAAAAAGGAAAGAAAATTTTAATAAACCTCCTTCCTTCTTCCTCTTGGTCATTCTTCTCGTATACCGTCGTTTCCTTCCAAATCTCTGCTTATTTAGCAATAAGAAGGAAAGTGGGTTGAAGATTCTTATCCTCCAATGTGATTGATTGCAAAAAATGGCAAAACAGATCTCCAAATTCCTCCTCGCGCGTGTTTGGTTCCGCATGTTCTGTTCCGCCCCCTTCTGTTCGCGGAATTAAAAGAGTTGGCCGACCGGTTCAATTGAACCGGCCGGTTAAACCGGTTACTACAAAGCCAACCACAAATTTAATGAAATTTGGTCAGAACCTTTTCGTTTTGTTTTGCCCAAACACCTCTAAATTTTATGTCTTTCTGAGTTCATTTGACCACTTTGCCATTCACTTAAGTTTCATATTGAATTTCTGATCACTATAGTCTTAACAGTTTTCATATAGTTTACTGTTTGCTTCATTTTTCGTATCAAATCATACTATATTTGGTTGAAATTTGGACATATGTTCCAAAAGTGTCCTATTTCTCTAAATTACATTGCATTCTGAGTTCGTTTGCTCCTTCAGTTTCAAATAAGTTCAAGTTTTAAGTCAATTTCTGACCAGTATTTTGTATTTTCCACGTTATTTTTTTTTTCTTAATTTCCTCCACCTTAGCCACTTCATACCCACCACAATATTTGAAAAACCCAGCCTTTTGCACCCTAACCTATTCTAAACTCAACCCCTATTCACCAATCACCATAAAAGAGCCCAAACCCAGCTAATTCAAAGAGTCACCAAATTAGTTTCACCCAACCCATCATCTTCCTTGACCAAAGTTGAGCAGCGACATCTTCACATCCCCTCTCATCCCTCCCCAAGTCAGATCTTGGCTAAAATTTTCCTGTTTCCAGAGTGTGACTAAATTTTTCCTGAAGCATGGCTATTCTATCAATTTTTCCTGAAGCATGGCTATTCTATCAATTTTGAAACATTTTTAAATGCAGTGCTCTCTTTCTATCTTAAAAATATTTTGGAATAAAAATTCCATTTCAACTCTCAGAAATTGAATAGGCTTGATCCATTTTGAGTTTGCCGGGTCAAGGATGTCTAAATAATGTCTCTAGTTGTTTATGTGTACTATTTTGTTTATGTGTAGTACTGCCCCATATTAAGACTCATATTTTGGCTTTGCGGTGTTATTTATTTTTCTTAGGGAGAATTATTTCTCACAGAAAACTGCTTTTTACAGCTTGACATTGATGTCGCAACACATATACATGTTCAGGATGATGGACCCAAACGAAGGTTTGTATTTTACATTTACATTTTGATTTAAGTTTCGTTTGGGACGGCTTTCTTACTGCTTCTTAAAGCGGCTTTCTAGTTTAAATCTTAAAATTTTTATACTAGAAAGTTGCTTTAAGAAGCAATAAAAAAGCCGTCCCAAATAAATTAGTGTTTTATCATTTCTTTCTGCAGTTGATCCTACTGCTTTTCTATAAAGGCCTAGTGAGGATTCCCAGCCTTTAATCTTAATATTGCCGTATCTTTCCAGCTTATTATACATAGAGACTGCTGATCGACCTGGACTGCTACTGGAAATCATAAAAATGATGGCAGACATCAATGTTAATGTAGAGTCGGCAGAGATTGATACTGAGGTGCAGTCTGAACTTAAACTCTTTATGTTCCAATTGAGAGACGACTTGCAGAAAAATTTTGAGGATTGAATCCTAAAATAAGTCCATTTGCCAGGGCCTTGTAGCCAAGGATAAATTTTATGTCAGTTATAGAGGTGCTTCCCTGAGTGCTTCCTTATCTCAGGTAACGTCTCTCATGTTTAAATATGCTATTTTAGACCCTTCTTCTTTTATGATTGTTTTATTTGTGTTTAAGGCTTCGTTTGGGACATTTTTTTACTGCTTCTTGAAACAACTTTTTAATACAAAAATTTTAATTTTTATACTACAAAGCTTGTTTCAAGAAGCTATAAAAAAGCCGCCACAAACGAAGCCTAAATCATAAGAACTGATTTAGAATTTACCTTGTTTGCTACCTTTTCTTTGCTTTTCAATCATGCTGCGATTTGAAATGCCCCTTGCATTAAAAAATTAGACTAATTACAAGAGGTTGTCTTGGAAGTTTCATTAAGAAGATTGGTGTAGTTTTAGGAATGTCCAAAACCAAGTTGTATATTGGTAAGGAATCTTGGCATCGGTGGGGCTAGCGAGGTGATAGAAATGGTTACAAGGAAACCAAATGCTGTTAAAAGAGTAGAAAAGTTATTTTTTAAGCTTATAATAATTAAAAAAATTAGAATTCTTGATAAGGAGATAATATAGAACCTACAACTATTATAATTTATATAATAGACTTGATTTTGGAGGATAAAATGAGATACGTAAAACAACTAAATCAAGAGATAAAAGATCTAAAGATTTTGATAAAGTCAAATGCATAAATTAAGATGAAAAAAAAATCTTATTTAAAGATGAGGACATTAAGGATTGACATAAATGAAGTATAATAAAAGAAGATGCACTATGATAAAACTTAAAGTCTAAATGAGATACATGTTGAGATTTGAAGAGTTATGTGGGATATAGTATTGGCTTAACAATTCTTAATGAAAATTTGAATGCCAGAAGGATGCCAAATGGTTAGAAAAGAAGTATTTTATTATTAATACTTAAGAACAAAGTAGATGTTTAAGACTGGTAGTTATATGGGAATCAAGCTTATAATACAACACAATTTAGTATAAATAGACTCAGGAAAAATTGTGTAACTTCTGGAGAATCCATTTAGTTTCATTTTTTAAGAAGATTAGCTATGGAAGTGATCTATGTGCATGAAATTAACTGAAAAAGTATAAAAAAATATAGAAATAATCTTCATATGATTTTTATTGATTTTAAGAAGGCATATGATTATTTTTTTGTGAATTTAGTTGGTGTGCATTTAGTCAAGTATATATCTTAAAAGTATATTAAAGTTATTTCCAAGCATCGATTAATATTACTAGTTATGAATTGACTAAAGAGTTTACAATTATTATAGGATTACATCAAAGATCAACATTGAATTTGTATCTTCTTTATTGGCTAGGGAGATGCTTATAAAAGATATTCAAAGTGAGATGTTAGATAAGACATTATAATCTGTGAGATATTTCCATAAAAGTTTAGAACTTTGAAGAAATTATTTAGAATTGACAGAGTAAAGATTGGGAATATAGATGACTTAGAGTTTGTAGAATAAAGATTGAGTATATGATATGAAATTTTAGTAGTATGATATTAATAATTATTAATCAATATTATTAGAACATAAAATATTACCTATGTCTAACACATTTAGGTATCTTAGACCTATTATATAAAAGAATGATATATAAATGATAATATAACTTTTAGTGTTGAAGTTAGTTGTTAAAATGAAGCTTCTCATGATTATTATACAATAGGATGATAGTGATACAATGGTACTTAAAAAGGTGGATTCTTTGAAACTGCAATTATTGAAAGTTAAGTTGTGTTGTAAAAATATTAATGTTAATATGAATATGTGGCAAAATTAAAAATGATAAACTAAGGTCTGATTATAATAGAATAACATTTAGAGTGACAACTATTGAATATAATTAAAACTTGGCTTATCTGGTTTGAAAATCTATTATGAACGGTTGAAAATGCATTCATTAGACGGATAGATAAAATTTAGTATTTAAGATTTAGGATGAGAAATAAGTAGGCCTAAGGTAATATAAGTAAAAGTTTTTCAAAATGATTTACAAACAATAAATTTAACATCTACAGCAAACTCCATAAGAACGATTGAAAATAAGGATTCATAAAACCAACCACAATAGTTGGGATAAGGCCAATGATGTCAGTAATAGCTTCTCAAAGTCTAGTCCTTATTGCTTTTGGATTGAACAGGTTGCCAAACTAGATTGGCTACTGATTTGCAGACCGACTGTTCCAATTAATCCGATAGTATTAGTGATTTTATCATAATTTTACTTTGTGTAAGAAGAAACACATGCAACCACTCCTAAAACAGTCATGTAAACTACTCACATCCTAAAAGACAAGAAATTTACACCAAAGCTGAGTTATACTGAGAAATCAATCATTCACTTTTTTTTAACTAAGATTTCGTTAGTGACGGCAGTTTAAGAAGCAGTAAAAAAGCCTTCCCAAATGAAGTCTTCGTTTGGGATGACTTTTTTACTGTTTATTTAAAACAGCTTTCTAGTAAAAAAAAATTTTGAATTAAAATTTTTTTATAATAAAAGTTGCTTTAAAAAGCAATAAAAAAAGTTGTCCGAAGTCATTAACTTCCAACTTGTTTTTGGTGCTTGCAGGTCCTGATAAATTCACTGCGCTATTACCTTCGAAGGCCTGAAACAGAAGAAGATAGCTATTAAGCTGATAATAGCCAGCCGACCCACCACCTAAATTCCTGTTATGAAATTGTGCCTTCAGTTCCAGCAAGTGCTGCTTTGAAATTGGTAATATCCTCTCCTTTCTCCAGTGGTTCTTCAATACTCTGCTCCTTCAAACATTTCTGCCCTATAAATCCAACTATTCTCCGGTCTGTAAAAAAAATATTTAGAAAGTTTTCTATCATCAAGGATTTCTCTCGTAGCAAATGCCCTCGAAATAAATTGATATCCTTTTTTTAATCAATCCTATGCTGAAAATAACTAGTATTATTAGCTCATGTGACATGCATAAGTTCCCTAAGCTTATTATATAACAATGTAGTACTTGTGGCAATGTAAAAATGAATATTACTAGATGCTAGAAATTGAGGTTTCTTTTGAGATGGCTTTCTTACTATTTTTTAAAGCATATTTTTAGTATAAAATTTTTTTGAATTAAAAAAATTTTGTACTTAAAAACTGCTTTAAAAAATAGTAAGAAAGTCATCTCAAACGAAGTCGAGTTGATAGTAAAATAAAATGCTAATCACTTTTTACTTTTGAGTGAGTCATGCATAGTTAGTGGAGTTATAATTTTTTATGTGAAAAATATTAAATCATGTGAGATTTTAGGTTTAATTTTTAAAAATATATTGATGTATAAATATAAATTGATTGACCTTAAGTTATAAGTTTGATAGGGTATTTTTATTAGCATATTTGATTTCATTTTAGTTTAGGGTTTAACTCGGGCTTCATTTGAGACAGTTTTTTTACTGCTTTTTAAATCAGCTTTAGTATAAAAATTTCTTAAATTATAAATTTTTATATTAAAAAATTACTTTAAAAAGTAATAAGAAAACTGTTCTAAATGAAACCTCAATCTCTCTAATAAGTACTATAGTCAATGGTTTTGTTGGGATTGGGTTGTTCTTGTGGATTATGGGCTTTTCCGCTTTATATGGTTCTTTTGTAGAATCTATCTTATAAATTTTTATTGATAGTGAATGTGAAGCTAGAGGAAGGCGAACGATAAATTTATGAGTTGAGCCTCTCGATTAGGATTTGAACTTGTGTATTGGTGATTTAGCCATGATCAATACACTTGAAAATGATATTTTAATTGAATAATTACTAAATAAAATAAGTATTTTAATAAGTAAAAATAAGTACTTTGTGTTTATGAGCAAAAATAATCTAAATAAATTTATAATTAAGGCTTCGTTTGGAATGGTTTTTTTACTGCTTCGTAAAGCAGCTTTCTAGAAAATTTTAAAGTTGCTTTAAGAAACAATAAAAAAGCCGTCTCAAACGAAGCCTAAATCTTAAATGAGTATATTCTCTCTTAAAACAAGTCGAAGTTTTTCATCCATAAGTGCTCAGAAGCATTTAAGTTTCGAAAGCAAGTCCAATTAGATTAACTTAGGATCTCCTTGGGACTACTGTAATTTTTTATAAAGATAATTTTTTTATTTTGAGAAAAATAAAATATTAAAAATTGTTTTTAATTACAAAAATTTCTTGTGATTGCGGTCTGAAAATTAAGCGATTAAACACTTGCCCCAAATCGCCGCATCCAGCAATCATTCTTGTTGTTAGTCCCTGCCATTGGCTACCATCACCACCCTCTGTAAATTTTATAAGTTACATTGAAATTATTTTATTTCAAGAAAAAAAAAAAAAAAAAATCTCATACTTTTTTTTATACTCATATGAATAATTTTAAAGTATTATTTTTACAATGTATTTATTTTGGATAGTATTTTTTTTACATTGTACTCTTTTTTGAACCAATAAAATAGCTGCTTAATGAAATTGAAATGATTGTTAAATTGTGGCATAAAAAAATATTCTAGTGACCAAAAGGCCGTCAAAATACAGTAATTTATAGATAAAATGATCAGATTGTTGCAATGATTCCAATAGCATTATAATCATTTGAATTGCACCACTTTGTGGAGAGCAATCAAAAAATATCAAGGCTTAAAAGATGTCCAACATACTGTACTAAGTAGCTTTAATTTAAATTATTTTTCAAAATTATTTTACCTTATATTTATATTTTAAATTTCAAAGATATTATAATTATTTAAAATATTCTTTTACATGGCTCAATAATTTTTTTTATTTATTAAATTATTAGTATTTTTTATTCAAAAATCTAAAATAAATTGAATATAATATGCAAATATATCAATACACATTCAAGATTTATCTTAATTTTTTCATTAATTAATTTTATATCTAATTTAATAATAACATCATGAGTCTATAAAGAGCCCTGCCTTAGTGCCTTTCATTGGCATATGTCCTCATTTGATCTATATAATTAAATTCATTCATTTCTCTTCTTTGAGTAAGTTTGTTCACAACATATACACTATAATTATTTTTATTTATCTTTTTTTTAATATTTTTTTTTTAAATTTTAAAAATTTTATTTGAGATCTTCTAAATTCTTGAAGTACAAAGAATTTAAGAACTTAAACCACCAACCTAAAGCTTTAGGTTATTAAATCCTCCTCTTTTGATCAAGAGAAGAACTATCCCAACAGTTTTCAATTGACTACCATCATGAGTTTGTTAGTCCACTCCTTTTATTTAAAAGAAGGATTGCCTTGTTTAAGACAAGGATTATCCCTACCACATGTAGTTATTTGTTGACATATGCATGCCAACCCTCAGTCATCTAAGCATCCCTTTTTCACCATTCAATGGGACTAGCTTGGTTGCCCTTCATCGTTATTCACAATAACATCTCTTGATTCCCTTTTAGCTAACATCTCTAGGAAGGTCCAACTATATTCAATGTGCTTCACAACCTTTTTATCATGTCAAATCACTTACTTTAGATCCTAGCATATCCACCTCTGACAAAGATAATCATATCATGTTTAACGAATTCCATGAACTTTCAATGTTGCCATATCATTGCGCCTCATTGTATTGTATATAACTTTAGGAAAGGACCAATTCAACCATCTTTTACATTCTTTACAAAATTCATATGCTACCACCTTTACATTATGCCTCCCATTAGGTGATTATTTTTGCCATCCATTATGACCTCTCAAGCTTTCAATGTCACTATATATCTCATCTTAAGGTTGCATCTCTTTCACCTCTAAGAGGGGGGTTATCCCAACTACCGATACTTTTTTCTCAATGTATTAGCTCTGCTCCATCTAACACCTTCAGGTCTTATTGCCTTCACCTTCCACATAAGAACTTTTCAGATACCTAATCTTATTGAATCACTATCTTTAATGATACTATTATTTTCACTTGCATTATGTTGGAGCCTTCATTGAGTTTGAGGAAGGGTAGTTCTTTATAGCTCATATTTTTTACTAATGGAAGCTATTTAAACTAGATTAGGTCATATAATTCCTTATAGATTTTTCAGGTTGAAATAATGTCCCTTGTTAACTAAATGTATTTCTTTGATTATGTGTGTATATCATTATTTATAACTAAGATGATTAAAATCTCTCTTTATCAACACATTTCTCACACAATAACTTGATTCTTATAAGAGAAAAAAAGGGGAAAAAAGCCACTTTGTTTCTAGTTGGTGAGAGGAACCAATCAACATTATAAGTTATTCAATATGATCCAACAACAACAACAACAACAAGCCTTTGTCCCATTACGTGGGGTCAGCTACATTAATCCTTTTTCTCCATTGTGTTATGTTAAAAATCAAATTCTCATTTAAATCTAATAAAGAAAGATCATTTTTAATATTTTCTAATGAAGTTTTTTTAGGTCGACCCCTACCTTTCTTAATATAAGTCAAATCTAATATCTCTACTTTCCTATCCGAGTCATCAGAAGACCATCGTTTTATGTGACCAAACCATCTAAGGTGACTCTTTCTAATCTTATCTTCCACTGGCGCTACTCAAACCTTTTCATGTATATGCTCATTTTGTATCCTCTCTCTGCAACACTTAATTTAGTATTATGCATCTCTTTTAATGACTAACATTCGACACCATAAAGCATTGCAAGTCTCACCACCATCTTATAGAATTTTCCCTTAAGTTTGAGGGGGACTTTTCTATTATACAACAAGCCCGATGCATTCCTCCACTTCAACCATCAAACTTGAATTCTATTGATAATATCCTCATCTATTTTACCATCACTCTGAACAATAAATCCAAGATATCTAAAACATGTACTCTTATTAATAACTTGATCGCCAAAACTCATTAGGTCTATTGCTACTAAAATTATACTCCATATATTCAGTTTTAGATCTATTCAAATGAAAACCTTTAGATTCTAAGGTTGACCTCCATAATTCAAGTTTAACTTCAACTCCGTCTCTAGTCTTATCAACAAGAAGAATATCATCAATAAAAAGCATACACCAAGGTACATCCTCTTGCAAATTTCTAGTGAGAACATCTATGACTAAAGCAAAAAGATATGGGCTTAAGGTTGATCCTTGATGTAATCCAACCGAAATAGGAAAATACTTGGTCAAACCACCTTGTGTTTGAATACAAGTAATAGCTCCTGCATACATATCTTTAATGATTTGAATATAAGCATTATGATCTTTACATGAGCTTAAATTAAATACGTGAAACATATTTGAAAACTTTTAGACATTATTAATGGAACAAATGATTTCTAATTCTAGTGTGTTTATATTTAAATAGGGGAGACAAATCTAAGAGCCTAATATCATTTGATTTTGACATTGTTAAGGCATTTAAATAATTTTAGGTGACAATTTTTTTTTTTGGGAAAAATAGGGGCAAACATGCATAATTTCATTCCAAAAAAAAAATGAAAGAGTACAAAATTTGTAAGAAAAACAAAAAAATAAAAAAAATAAAAAAAAGTGGAAGGAAATCCACCAAGAACAACTAAAGATAGCCAAAAAGAAGAAAACTAAGCACAAAACACTTTGCAAACAATAAAAAAGAGTTCAAAAAGGAACTCAACAACAAACAAAAGAACAGACCCACCAACAAGCCTCCAAACCACATCTAACAAGCAACAACCATAACAACAGAAAAAGAAGCTACCATAGTTCTCCAATCCAACAATAAAGCCAGCAACCGGAATAGCCATCCAGTAAAAACAGGCCAACCATAACAAAGATCACCAAAATAGCAACAAGACAACCATAACAAAGGTCACCAAAACTGCAACAGAGCCACACCACCCTCCAGTAACCAGCCTTCCATCCGAAACAATAAAGCAGCAACAACAATGAACCCAAAAAGAGCTCCAACAACAGACAACAACCCTCAACAAATTTATAGCAATCAGCAAAAAATGTCATAGGACCAACAAACATACCTAAAAACACCAAAAAAAGAAACAATTAAGAAGTAAAAAATTGAATCCTACAAGAAAAAGAAAG